AAAACTGCTCTGGCCACACCGCGTGACCGGGACAGCAGGTGCCCGCTGGGTTGTGCCAGCTCCCCCGGGACCTGCGTCACCTCGCCTGCGGCTCAGCGGAGGCTGGGTCCGTCCTTCCACCCGCGCGGCATGGGGAGCCGGAGGGGAGTGGGACAGGGCTTTTAAATGTGCTGCAAACCTGCTTCGCCAGGAAGCACAGAGGTCCTTGCCGAGGGCTGCCTGGGGTGTGATGGGAGCAATTGGGGATGGGATTTTGGGATAGGGGTGTGAGAACGGGGCCGTGCAAGAGCACTGTGTCCTCTCACACCTCTGAACAACACAGTTTGGCTCCAATTTCTGTGCTCCTGGCTGTGTTGGCTCCCACCACTGAGAGCCATTCACCAGAGCTGGAGGGGGATGAGGGTGTCCCAGGGCTTGCTCAGGAGGAGGGTGTCCCAGGGCTTGCTCTGACCCCAGCATGTTCCCATCCCTGGCTCTCTGGAGCAGCTGGCATCTCAAGCTCATTGCTGGCTGCCCTGAGAGGAAAACAAACAGCATCTCCAGCTCACCAGCAGGATGGAAAGTTTTGCTTGCTGGGTCTGGATTGCCTGGCTGGCGTTCTCCCAGCTTAGCAGCTATTAAATACCTCAGCAAGGCACTCGCATTCCGTGCCCGCTCTTCGCGGGTGTCTCACTTCCCAAGAGCTTTGCCTGGCAGCAGCGGGCGAAAACTCCCTGCCTGCCCCATGCAGTTCCCCTGCCATGGAGCAAGGTGCATCGCTGCAAATGGCAGCTTTTCCTTCTTCTGCTGCCCTATGCCAGTGGCTGGTCTCTGTCCCCAGTGTCCAGCAGCCCTGTCCCCAGGGCCTGGGGAGCTGTTGAGGTCAGCTCTCCCTCCATCCAGGATACTCCTGCAGCCCTCGCCTGCTTTCCCTTGCGTGGCTTTTCACTGCAGCCTCTCTTCCCCACCAGGCAAGGCAGGAGGAGTTTGGCCGTGCCCCGGGGCTCCCGTGTGTGAAGGACGGAGGAGGAAGAGGAGGGCTGCCGCTGGTGTTTGTCATCGAGACGCACTGCGCGGGACCCCTGCCACTCTTATGAGGTAGGGAGACCCGGGCGGGGACCGGCGCTGGCTGAGCCCCCAGGAGAAATTTGGGACCTGATTGCTCCCAGCTTTGGCACTTAACGGCAGCGAGGGGAGCTGAGCGGACGGCAGCACCCAAGGGTGCTGCTTCAGTGCCTCTGGGGAGGAGGGGAGGCAGGCAGCATACCAGGGTGCTGCCTGTGCTTGCAGGCACTGCCTCCAGCAACATCTCACCTGGTCCTAGTGGCGTTTGTGTGATGGCTTCCTCGCATCTTCCTGTCTGGATCCCCGCCATGAACTGATTTATTGCCAAGGCTGGAGAGGAGCAGGGTTAATTTGGGAATGAGGACCCTGCCCCGCCACCAGCTGGGGCTGCTGGTGCCCCTCAGTCAAGGGGTCTTAGTGAAGCCACCGCTCGGGTTGCATCTGACGTTCCCCCTGCCACATGTGTCTCGCGTGTCTCTAGTGTCTAGCCTCGTCACTGTCCTGCAGCACCCCAGCAGGGGTACCCAGCAGTACCCAACCCAGCACCCATTTTAAGCCGTGCAGGGGCAGGCAGGAGCAGCGAGCTGTCACCTGGCCCAGTAACAGCAGCGATGCCCTCTAGTGCCACCAGCTCCGGGCTCCCATGTCCCCAGGGTGCTTGTCCTGGACTCTCACGTCCCACCGGGACCCCACGCTGCTAAAGCCAGGCTTTGCTTGTGGTGGGGTCTGAGGGGAGGGTCGTGGTTGTGCTCGGGACTCAGAGTGCTGGGGGAGCTACAAAAGTGCCTCTGTGCCTGCCTCCTGCTCAGCCCCGTGCTCCCAAGGGGGGGACCCTGATGCAGAGGGGTCTGGGGAGTTCTCAATCACCCAGCTGGCTGCTTGAACACCCCCACCCCATGAGAGCAGAGCAGGGTACAAGGCCATGCAGCTGGGTTGCAGAGGATCCAGGCCCATGCGTTGAGCTGGAGTTTTGCAGCTAGCGGCACTGTTGGACTCTGAGCTCCAACTTGGTGGTGGCGGGTGGCAGCAGAGGAGCCCCAGCAGGATGCCTGGTTCCCCTAGGGGACTCTGCTGTCCCCCTCAAGGTGGAGAGGGCTAGCTCCCATCTCTCCTGTTAGAGCAGATCCCGCGGGAATGCTGATTCTTGTGGCTGACCCATGGCAGGGCTCAGTGCACGCTGCACAGGGTGAGCGCGGCAGGTGGCACCATGCCCGTGGCCATGCGGAGGGGACGAGGGGTGTCCATAAGACCTGTGCGAGTCCCCTGGGCACTGGCACATGGTTGAGGGGGATGGAAAGAGGCCAGAGGGGACTGTGCCTCCCTTCGAGAGCCCCCGTAGTCCCTAATAGGATCTGGGACTCGCTCCCTTGTGCTCGGATGGAATTATCTTTCCTGTGAGGTCCTGCCCAGTAGAGCCCAGGCTGCAGGGACCTTTGGGAGGGGATTGCTCAAGGAATCAACTGCTTATTAGCCATTAAGCTTCCCCTTCCTGGCACGTGGTGCTGGGGAGGATTCGGTCTCCCAGCCTGGTGTGTGCATGCACGTGCCAGCGGGGAATGTCCCGCATCTCCCCTCCCACGGGGCACCCTGACACATGGTGGGTCCTGGCTCCATGGCTGGAGGCAGCATGGACTGCCCCAGCACCTCTCGCTGCAGAAGGAGCCGTCCCCGACATAGGGGCTGTGGTGCACGTGGGGATGTGAGTCAGGTATTTTCAGGCTTTGCGTGTCCCCTGCCTGGCTGCATCCCCTCCTTTCCCACTCTGCGCTGCACGGGCAAGGGGAGCTCTTGGCAGACTCCCAGGAGCGCCCGTGATCCCCCCCTTGGCTCCCTCCCTTACTGTGCTGAACCACGGGGGCCAGTGTCCTCGTGTCCGAGAGCCACAGCTGTGTGCCGTGGGCCTGGCCAGGGCTTGCAGGGCTCCCCGCCACGTCTCCCATGCACGTGCCGAGTTGGTCAGGCACATCCTGACGGGGTGTGAAACCAGGGTGTCCCACAGGCACATGCTGGGGTGACGGGGATGCTCTGACCCTGTCGCTCCTGCCATCCCTTGCTCTGCTCCTGGCAGGTGAAGGGGTGGTGCTGGTGGTCCTGGGGGACTGGGAGCGAGTGGGTGATGGAAGCCCTCCTGACCACCCAAACCCGGGGAGGGGGTGCGGGTTTCAGGGATGTGGCAGCTGGACGGTTGGTGGTGAGGTCTCAGCAGCACAGCCGGTGGCACAGGGGGCTGAGGCTGGTGAGATGCCACTGGTGAAGCCCCATCTCCTGCTGGGACCCAGCCTCTCCCCATGCGTGAGCTCCTGGGGGGATACTTCTTCCCCTCTTGCTGACTCCTTGCACCCTCCCAGCCTGCCGACCACCACCGGACCAAGATGTCAGCTGGCGACAAGAGCGGGGGCAGCCACTCCAGCAGCAGCCGCTTGCAGAGCAAGAAGCCCCCCAACCTCTCCATCATCATCCCCCCCCGGGAGGCGGAAGAGGATGGCGCCCGCAAGGAGGTGAGCGACGGGGAGCTGCGTCTGTCCCGCGCTGGACTTGGGGGGCTGCCATCCCCGACCCCCCATGGCATCCTGTCCCT